GGGTTTGAACCACCAGCCTTCTGGTTAGCAGTCAAGTGCTTTAGCCACTATGCTACCAGAGCTCCTTGTGTAGTCCCTCTGATATTTGTGAACACTGCAAACATATCAGAGGGTATGCTTAAGGGAGAGGATGAAGAAATTGAGTGTGGCTAGATTATGAGGAGCTTTGTAAAATCCAAGGTTAATGACTTTTAACGTGATTTAAAAGAGAATAAAATAGGTATTATAGGTGTTTTTTTTTTTTTTTTAAATGTAGATTCTTTATCAGTGGAGTAGTATTTCTTTTTTGAGTTTCCCTTGAGTCAGAGGGTATCAGTAGGGTAGCCAAGAATCTGGGAGATTCAACTCCAAGAAACAGCAAACTAGGAAACTCACCAGACTTCAGATGATCTCAAGTTCTTTTCATAGCACTTTCATAGGAGCATAAGGTCTCATTGGGAACTAGAATAATATAGAAGTGGGTTAATGGACAAGGGCAGTGAAGATGAGGGATTACAGCATGGAATGGCTGAGAATTTGGAGGTTAAGACAAAATTGAGAATGTCCAGTGATATGGCCTCTATCTTACAGAGAAATAAAGAGGTAAAGGAATTCCCCTGGACATCCAGGATATTCCCACAATTCTGGCTCTGTCCTCTCATTCTATGGATTTGAAGTGTAAATAAAGTTTCCCATTTGAACTGTACCCTTCAGAGCCCTTCCTAACTTCTGTACCAGCTTACTCTTTTCTTTTTATTGTGGTAATATATGTATATGTATAACAAAAAGTTTGCCATTTTTAAGTGCACAATTCAGTAACATTAATTACATTAACTATGTTGTCCTACCATCATGACTAACCATTTCCAAATGTTTTTCATCACCTCAAACAATAACTCCCATTCCCTCCTACCCCCAGGCCCTCATAACCACTAATAATCTTTTATTATGCATTTGCCTGTTCTAGATATTTTCCAGCCAATATACCTCAAGCGCAGCCACTACCCATCTGTCGGTGGAGGCTTACATGTTGCTATGATGCTGAATAGGTTTCAACGGAACTTCCAGACTAAGACAGACTATGAGGAAAGGCCTGGCAATCTTTTTCTAAAAAAATCAGCCAATGAAAACCCTATGGATCATGACAATCTTTCCATTATGCATGGGGTTCCTATAAATCAGGCTGACATGACGGCAGCTAACAATAACAAAGATATTTTGTGTAAGTGGGAAGTAGCAGCTTACTCTTAATTTTCCACAAGTGAGTTGATATGGATAGGGGCTTTGGTGGACATTTTTTAGGGGTATAAAATACATACAGAAATGTACATGTTGTTGTTGTTGTTAAGTGCCGTCGAGTCATTTCCGACCCATAGCGACCCCATGCACAGCAGAACGAAACACTGCCCGATCCCGCGCCAGCCCCACAATCCCTGCTATACTTGAGCCCATCATCGCAGCCACCATGTCAATCCATCTCGTTGAAGGCCTCCCCCTCTTTCGTTGACCCTCCACCCTACCAAGCATGACATCTTTCTCCAGGGAATGGTCCCTTCTTACAACATGACCAAAATAGGTGAGACAAAGTCTGGCCATTCTTGCTTCCAAGGAGCATTCTGGCTGCACTTCCTCCAGGACAGATCTGTTAGTTCTTTGAGCAGTCCACGGTGCTTTCAGCATTCTTCGCCATCACCACAACTCAAAAGCATCAACTCTTCTTCGGTCTTCCTTATTCATTGTCCAAGAAATGTATATAAAGTACATTAATCTTAAATGTACAACTTGATTAATTTTTCTTGGACTTTTTTCTATCTTATCAAAAACCAGTGACCAGCAGTTATATAGAATTTCAGAGATGAGGAAGCAAAAAATTAAGTAACTTTTGTTGTATATATAAAGTTTCAAAGTTACAGGATTAATAAGCAGGGTACTAGTTTATTTTATATAGCCAATGCCTAAAATGTAAGACATTTTCAGGCAAGTATGTTACATTAATAACAACAACAACCGTAACCATAGCTACCATTTTTAATACAAACTACATGCCAAGCCCTATGCTAAGTGCTTTGTATTATCTCGTTTAATCTTCTACTGCCCACCATGAAGGAGCCCTGGTGGAACAGTGGTTAAAGTACTTGGCTGCTAACCATAAGGTCAGTGGTTCAAATCCATCAACTGCTCTACAGGAGAAAGGTGTGGCAGTCTGTTTCTATAAAGGTTTATAACCTTGGAAACCTTATGGGGCAGTTCTACTCTGTCATGTACACACACACACACACACACATACAGACAA